GAAAAGAGGATGCCAATGTTGTTTCACGGAATTAAACTCCAAGGAAATGTAGGAAGCACATCTAGTGGCTGTCTGGAAACTGCAATGGTTTACATTGCAGGGTTAACAGGAATACGGCACCCAGCCCACTACTACAGGGTGCTTATAGTGTCCCTTTTATTTCACTAATATAGTCTGTGGTATTTTAATCAACAACAGACACAGGCTTGTCAGCAGGCTTCATCATGACACTGATAAGTACCTCTTCAGATCAATGACTGCATTTTTCTCCTCATGTGTTACATTTGGAAAACAAGTTAAAAATAAATGTTCATCTAATTTCATATTTAATTCTCTTTCTACTAGATTAATAAATGTTTCCACAACATTATTTCTAGTACTAGATAATAGATTTATTAACTAAATCAAGTTCATGTAAACTCAGAATGGAAGTATCGATGTCCTGTATATTAATTTCACCAAAAAGATTTTTTTTGTGTGTTTTTTTTTAAAGAAAACCTTCATTCTAATGGTTCTGAACTATTTTAATAGAAATTGACACTTTTATAAATTAATCTAGCTACACCCCTTCTAACACCCTTTGACTGTCACTCAGACAACCAATTGGTCCTGTTATTTCCTGGTAGTGTAGCTCTTGTATTGGGAAGTCTGTGATTGGACAGCCACAGAACGTTTGGGCTGGTGAAGAATGGTAGGGATTGCAAAGGCTACAGACTAGAGATCTACAGCTGTTGCAAGCTGTTTTTAGATACACCCAATGAATAAAAAATATAATTAAATGTATACATGTTTTTATTGGGGGTATATCTACTAAATTATTAATATTATTATTGATTTTATATTTGGATAGTGAAATGTCCATTTAAGTTCTCATATCTGTAGTAGTTTATACTATAATGACCTCATGTAGTAAAACTCAATATTACATTGGTATTTCAAAATGTTAAAAGGTTATGAACTAATTAGTTGGACTTTTTTTCTCTGTTATAGGTACAGTCCTTCATATATATATATATATATATATATATATATATATTTTTTTTTTATTTTTTTTATTATTTATTTTTATTTTTTTCGAATTTATTTATTTAATTCTAATTGTCTATAGGTATATATAATCATTGATTAATTAAAGGAGATACAGTTATTTGAAATACAAACTGTTGGAAACGATCATATAATAAACTGTATTTATGTAATCTGTGTAAAAAATAACAGTTGAATATTATTTGTAATTTTGTGACAATTTTCTAGTCTAATGTATTGTTTGTGACTATTAATAAGGGTCACCCCTTCTTGTTGTCAGGTCTCCTTAAGGAGGATACATAAACGGAGATGGGGAACCGATTGACATTCAGCATATTGATCCGGTTGAGGAAGCCATGCTTGTGTGGTGAAACGCGTTCCGGCTTTTTTATTTGGACATTGTTCCGATTTTATTTGTATTTTATATACTGTGTTAATAAATTAATTCTTTTTTATTTGGTTCTCCATCTATCCATTTTACATCTGGGAGTGCAGCCCCTTAATCTGCACATTACTCAAGAATTGAGTCAATTTAGACTCTTGGTCTGTAAGTACCCACTTGGGATCAACACTTTTATTTTAACTTGTATAGACTGTACTACACTATCTCCGGTTCATCTATCTCCCTGTAGGACAAGACATATATCCTTAACAGGGGTGGGTCGCCTAGACAGACCCGAAAGTGATTTCAACTAGAGCTGGGTCCACAGCTCTCTGTTTGTGAGTGAATAACACCATATACGAATAGATACATAATTGCACAGTTATATACCATCCCATTCTGAAGAAGCCACTTATGGTGAAACGCGTTTATGGTTATTAATTCTGTATTTTACTGTGTATTTTAGATCAATAAAAGTTTTTTGGCTACTTTATTGTACCAATCCTCTTTTTATTGCACTCTTTATGCACTTTAAACAACTTTTGTTTTTACCTATTCCTGGCATTTTAACCTTTCCTGGTTACTTTTACTTCCATTGGCAATTTTAAAGTTCCAGTACTCCAAGAAATCCTAGGTGGGGATCATACCACCGGCGCCTATCCATAGAGCAGTACCTCTGCTCTATCTTTGTGAGTATTATTTTATTTTCTCTACTACTCTCTTAACCTATCACAATTGAGAGCACTATTGCTGCTTTTTATTCTTCTATATTGGAGCCTTGGATCACCAGACGGTGCTGACGGACGTATCGCCGCTACATATCCTATAAGCGGGGATTATACCGCTGTACGCTATCCACACCAGAGCTGGCCATAGCTCCCTCAAATGTGAGTTTTTTACCTCTTCTTATCTGCACATTGAACCACATCAAAATTGAGAGCACTATTGTTGCTTTCTGTCTTTCTTTTTCGAGCTCTGGACTACCAGACGGTGCTGACGGAGACCCCTCCCTACATATCCCATAAGCGGGGATTATACCGCTGTACGCAATCCACACCAGAGCTGGCCATAGCTCTCCTGAATGTGAGTTCTTTACTTTTTGTTACCTATCACACCCTGAACTTTCATACTATACCATTAGTCGCCTCTACCTCTCTTGTATTTACATATACGGAACGGTCTACACCAGACGCATCCACAGAGGAACTCTATCAAGTATCCTAGACCATCTATTGGCACCCTAGCAATACTTTACTGGACTATCTACCCTTATTTGGCGCAGCCCTTCCATATCTTTTTGTATCTATCCACCGAAGGACCCGAGGGGTTTTCCTTCATTTGGGTTGCTGCCTACCTTGACTAATTTTGTGATTACTAGCGCTGAATTCTTTTTGTGTTTATATATACTATCTGCACTATGTATGATTGTCTTTTGTAGATTAACCATTTACTGGACACCTGAACAAGGAGAAAAAAATCATATCTCGCCTAATTACCAAAAGGTGATAGCATATTATTTATTATACAAGCGCTACATTCTGTAAGGAAATTTTTTTCCTTTCTACTGTTTGAATTTATTGGTGATATTGAAGGAGTCATGAGAATGTTTAGCAGCTAATCATTACTTGATATATATCCTTCTATTGGGAATAATAAGCGCTGAGTCCTTAACCTTTCTTTTCTTGCAGGTCTGCTAAGAGACCACGTTAGTATGTTTTTCTGTGTTGGTGGCAGTATTGTCCCAAGGACAGATTTGAACAAGACACTATTAGATGCATAAATCAGTGAAGGCTCTTCTAAAACAGTTTGACTACTCAGAATGTGGGGTGTGGTGTCTTTAATGTGATCTCTTAATATAATGCTCCTCCAGATCATACAAAACGTATTTCTAATGTCAGTCTGAACATGTTCTAAGTGCAGTGTTCTGTGTGAGAAACTGAACAAAATGTGTTTTATGTTAATTTATTAAACAGCAGATTGTGGAGAATTGAAATCCAAATTGCACGATGTTGATCAAATTAGCTAAGATGGAAAACTCACTGTTAAGTGAATAAACCCAAATGTATTACTCATTCAAGCAAAGCTTTTTGTTGGATGTTTGAATGTATGCCAATTAGAGAGTGAGTAACTGATAATGTGTTAGGGATGTCCGTACAGTATGGACAGGAAAAGACCATTTGGTGCGAGGGTGTAGTAATCGTTAATGCATTCCATAGTAGTAATTTTCAGCTTTCTAGGCGTTTGTCCAAAACTGATTCATTTAGGCCAATTCATATGCTCTGACTCATTGAACTGATATGTGGTTGCCATTGTGCTAATATATTCTTAACCAGAATATAACTCTATCAGATTGTTAAGTGAATTTGTACTGGGCATGCATTAAAACTGCTGTTGTAACAGTGTGTTTTTAAAGTTGTTGTCTGTTTTAAAAATGCTGTTTGGGCCACAATAAGACATTGGTGTGTTCATAAAGGTTCACAGGTTTTATACACCATTTATACGTCGTTAACTGTTTGCTATTGAATCTTTATATTGAAAGAAGTGCCTGTAGTTAGCGTGTTTAGTGTTTATTTAGCTTGCTCTCTTTATTTTGTATTTAGAGAACACTGTTTTCGTGATAATATTACAGTAAGCACAATGGGAAGGAGCTATTGGCATAATTAAAAGAAGGTCATTCAGTAATTTCACTCAGTTTTTTTGAGTAAGATTTTGAACTCTGAATTTTAAACAGAAGTTGCCAAGACTGCTGATTTAGGATTATACGTGATCTGCGGTATATTTTTTAATGTACCACTACATTCTCCACGCCCACTTCATCTTTGCAGCTGGAGGGTGTCAGAACAAAACTCTCAGCACTGAAAACAAGATAAATTAACTGTATTTAACTTCACTTTTACAGAACAAAGGTGTTCCGTATAACATCGATTGTTATATTTGGGATTATAGGTTCACTTTAATTTGTCATCTGATGTTTGAAAGAATTATTCACTAAATTATAAAAAAATAGTCGTGAAATTGCAAGCAAATATTAACCACTCACCGAAGGTTAACCTGATTTTGCCAGAAAAAGTAAAATTCAGTAAATAAATTCACTTGCTATTTAGCAATCAAACTTTTAAAAATCGCCACCAGCAGCCAGTTAAGAATCCTTCAGTAGCATGAGGTTTAACCATGTGACACCTCACTAACACACCCATCGATGTGAAATATTTTGGCACTTAAATGTAAACATAATAATAGCTGCCCAGTCTAACGTATTATTAACAGAGAGCTGAAAATGTCTGCTCACTGTTTAGGATAAAGGCTCCCACCCACAGAATGGTAGGTGGGGGCATAAGGGAGGTAATAATCCTCTTTATAGTTAGATGGAATCATAAGGAGCCCTAAATGCTTTTATGATTTTTTAGCTTTGTTTTTTCGAATGTACATCTAACATAACATTCGTGTATATAAAATGTTGAAAAAGGGGGGTGGCACCTGACTTCCGGCGCGAATGGCGGCATCTCGCTAGGGCTCCGCACACCACGGGCCCCATCGCAGCGAACACTAGCCGCAATCCCTCCACTAATCCCCTCTCGGTGCACCCGCGGAGATGGGCGGCGGACGTAAGTCCAAACAGGGGTCTGTTGTGGCGCCGATTTTCCGCAGCCACAGGCCGGAGGAGGAACGGAGGGCTGAGGAGACCGGGGAGTATGACTCCGATTCCATGGCCAGTGACATGAGCCGCACAAACACGACTCCCATCACCAAGGACGACCTCCGTGGCTTACTTCAAGATATTAAATCCAATATTGAGGCAGAATTCACCAAGCATCTGGCTCCCATGCGGGCAGGCCTCACAGACCTTGTGCAACGTACCAGCACTTTGGAAGACAAAATGGAGGCTGCCACTTCCAGAGCTAATACCCACGAGCAGGTCATACAAGACCTTAGGGACCAGGTAAAACAACTTGAAGATGCCCAAGAAGACCTTAATAATAGGTCAAGACGCAATAATATCAGAATAAGGGGCATACCTGAGACCGTCGATATGGAGTCCCTGTCATCCACCATCAGAGAAACCTTCTGCAGCTTACTGCCTGAAGCACCACCAGCAGAACTCCTGTTGGATCGCGCCCACAGGGCGCTGCGAGCCCCCACTCCTGGCATGCCACGGCCACGCGATGTAATAGTGCGGCTCCATTATTACCACATCAAAGAAGCCATACTGAGAGCCGCACGGAACACACCCCTCCAGATAGAGGGGCACCAGGTCCTCTTCTTCTGGCCCCCAGTACCCTGCGAAAGCGGAGAGAATTGCGTCCACTCACCCAGGAGCTCACGCGGATACAGATCCGCTACTCATGGGGGCATCCCTTCAAACTCACGGTACGGAGGAACAACCAGACATACACACTCCATAACACCGCAGAGGCGAGCAGCTTTGCAGAGAGGCTGGGCTTGTCCCAAGCTCACATCGCGGACGGAGAGGTGCCTGCAGCGGCCCACATGCCACCCACCCGAAGGGCTGAAGTGGACCATCCACAACGTCATTCACCCACAGGAGACCCGAATCCGACCAACAGGAACTGACCAAAAGCGACCGATGGATCGACACCGTAAGCACAGAACCACACGACCTCGACACCCATACTTGGACTGCACTTGCTCACGCTTCCATGGACAATGCCTCAAGGCAAACCTAAGACTCTCATATCCCCGGCAGCTTGGCAACACTCAGTGTGACTGCGGTCGGACTATCAGATAAGATGATGTCTTTTTTCTTTTTTTTCTTATTCTTCTTTTATGCTCAGTGGTTGTCCCCTCTGTTTATATACCCTTAAGGCCCTACGCACTTGCCCCTATAAAGCAGGGTATACCGTCATCCTGAAGGGGGAAAGAAAGGAGGGGGGAGGCGACACCAAAAAAAAGGGGGCGGGAAAGAAGAAGGAGGAAGGGAAAAAAAAAGAGGAGAAAATTAAAGGAGGAAGGAAAGGGAAAAAACACATAAAAAAAAAGGGGGAGAGAAAAAGGGAAAAACAAGAAAAGAAAAAGGGAACAAAAGGGGGGGAGGAGAGAAAAGGAGGGGAGGGAAAAAAGGGAGAAAGGGGGAAAAGGGAGAACAAAAAAAGAAAAAAAAGAAAGGAAAAAAAAACAAGGGGCAAAACTACATAACTTACTTGGATATCCCAGGCGATCCTGAGCCACAACCAGGGTGCCAACTTCACAACACGATGTACAATGTAAACTGCAGTGGGCACACAGCATAATGCTTAGAACACCGCTCCTAGTGAATTTCCACCTGGAAGCGTTCACACCCCCTATTGCTGGGGTCTCCCGCCTCCCACAGCGTGAATTAAGCCACACTGCCACTAGAATAGCATGGAAGGATATAGAGATAACGGTGTGATTACGTATAGCTGTATAAGCCCAACATACAATGAATCGGGATACCAACTGACTTCATATCATCATGCCGGCCGCTTGTATATAGTTTGACAGGTTGAGGTTACGCATGAGTTATTGTGCAAGGTATAGAGCACCACGAATGCACCAACGTTGACACTGTAATAATATTCGAAGGCACAAACATTGATATGTTAATGCTTGTTATTGTTTAATATGTGACTTATATCTATACCGTATAGGGGCAAGAACACCACACACTTCTACCCCCAAGGGCTACCGAAGACTGATACGTACGGCGACAGACTCACAGACCGAGACCCACCGTCCATGGAAGCGAACTACACTCCTGCACCAGTGACCGACTCTGGGTACAGTACTCACGCACACCACAAATCCACAGACAGGGCATGCATGGGGCCTCTCCCTGCTCCCTCCCGATGCCGCAGGAGCCTGCCACTACCACACGACTAGAGAGGACCACATCATAACAAGGAATTGCATTGACTCAACCGAGGGGCCTACATGTGACTCCGGCTGACCGCCACTACCCACCGATACACCCCCTTACCTAAACCCTCACACCCCAGGAGCGGTCAGGCGAACCGCCCCTACCACCTACTGGCAAAGAGTAAGACCAGTAGATCGGCTCCTTCAGGCCTACACAACCGGAACCCCACTATTTTCCTTCCCACCCTCCCGCCACTACCCCAAGCCCTTTCACCCTCCTCCCATTCCCCTGCCGCGGCGCCCCAGCCCGCACCCCAGCCCGACCGCCCCAACAACTGCCGTACGCGACACGCCACAGCTAACACCCGGTCCAACCCGGTGGAACGCTCGGCACAATGCCCCTCTCCCTGAAATGCGTGGCCATCAACACCAAGGGCCTCAACACACCTATTAAAAGGCACGGTCTCTTGCGCTGGGCACATAGGCAACAGGTAGACATACTACTACTGCAAGAAACCCACTTCACATCCACCAGATCGTTTTCCCTTACCAACCGATACTACAAACAGAGCTACCTGGCCAACTCCCCGGACACTAAGACGAAAGGGGTTGCAATCATACTCAAATCTACATGCCCCTTAACAGACATCAAATGTACAAAGGATCCACAAGGACGCTACATCACCATAGAAAGGAAAATAGGCACACTCCCATACGTCTTCAGCTCAGTATACGCTCCAGCTACCCCCGACGGCGCATTCTGGCAACAATACGCCGCACACTTGCAAGCCTACACAGGTAAACGCCTAATAATGGGCAGAGACTGCAATGCCACACACGTCCCAGCCATCAATAGATCATCGCGAGGGCCAGAGGCCCCCCAGCCCTCCCGGAACGATGCCCACTTTGCCCAATTCCTAGCCACACAACCCCTAGTCGACATCTGGATAGTACAACACCCATCTACCCGAGACTACACCTTCTATTCGCACCCACACACCTCATACTCACGCATAGATCACTTTCTAATCTCCCCAAACCTAATGTCCCAAGTCTCTAACACCAACACAGGGATCATCTCGTGGTTGGACCATGCCGACATATCGTTCACCATCCGCCTCCCGGACCTGAAACGCCCATGGTCTTGGAAACCGAACCCGCTCCTCCTCCATGACACCCAGATCAAACTCGAAGTAACCAAAGCTATCAAAGAGTACTTCGATACTAACACACCTTCCGTAGCATCCCAATGATGCTGTGGGCTGCACATAAAACACCCTCATCAACTTAGCTTCAGCCCATAAAAAAGGAAAACGCAGCAAATCACAGAGACGCTGACCGAGCTGCGCAAATTAGAAACTAGTCACAAAAATAACCTGCAGCCAAACACGCTGCGTGAACTAAACGCCACCAGAGAACTCATCAAAAAAATAATGCACACGGACACGACTAAAGCCCTAATGTGGCTTAAACAGAAACACTACGAAACAGGCAACAAAGCCGATACCATGTTGGCCCGACGACTCAAAAAATGCATAGAAGCCAAAAAAATATCCTCCATACGCACTAGGACAGGCTCACTCAGCGACTCACCTAAACAAATAGGAGAAGCATTCCAAAAATACTTTGAATCCCTATACAATCACTCCCCACACCTCCACCACGACAATTCAGCTTATCAGGAATGAATAGATGACTATCTCCAACACATAACACTGCCTACCCTATCTCAAGCCACCAAACAAGCCATATAAACAGAGGCGACAGTGGAGGAAATGACAATAGCCCTCGGGGCCTGCAAACCCAACAAAAGTCCAGGCCCAGACGGCTATACTGCCCTTTACTATAAAGAGTTTAGCCCCCTACTCCTCAAACACCTCTCGCAGTCTTCAATGCTACCCTGAGAGGAGACCTCCTGCCACCGGACATGACAATGGCAAACATTTGCCTGCTCCCCAAACCCAACAAAGACCTCACGGAGCCCGAACACTACAGACCCATCTCATTGCTTAATGTGGATCTCAAAATTATGAGCAAAATGATGGCCAATAGAATCAACCCACACTTAGATAAATTAATACACCCGGATCAAGTGGGTTTCATACCCAATAGACAAGTATCCGATAATACACGCAGGAATATAGATCTCATATGGCTGACACAACACCGCAAACTCCCCACAACAGTGATCTCAGGCATTCGACCGTTTACTATGGCCCTTTCTCTACCGTACACTAGCCCATATGAACTTGCGTTCCTACAAGCAACATACCCCTCCCCCCAAGGAGCCCTCCTACTTCCCAACATCACCCCAGTTCCCCAATATTCAATGGCACGTGCCAAGGATGCCCACTGTCCCCCCTTATATTCGCACTCTCCCTAGAGCCCCTACTTCACGCGATACGCACTAATCCTCGCATAGCAGGCGTAACTATCAGAGGTGAACCATATACGGTATCCGCCTATGCGGATGATATTCTTCTGACACTTACAAACCCGGACCAATCCATAGAATCCCTGTTAGATACTATACAGGACTATGCACAGGTTGCGGGATATAAGCTGAATTTAGCAAAATCGGAACTACTTCCGATCCAACTCTCCGACACACAACTAGCCACCATAAAAAACAGATACCCATTCAGAATATGCCCCTCTAACATAACATACTTGGGAATACAACTCCCAGCTGACTTAAACACTGTATACACGAAAAACTACACCCCACTACTACGTAAAGCATATGTTGACCTATGGAAGTGGAGGACACTGGGAGTGTCCCGGCTGGGGCGGGTGGCATCGGTAAAAATGAACCTATTGCCCCGATTGCTATATCTGTTTCAAACTCTACCCATACCACCCCAGAGAGCAGACCTCAAAACGCTGCAAACGGCGGTAGATCACTTTATCTGGAACGGATGCAAACCTCAGCTTCGTAGAACCACGCTCTATGTCCCTAAAAAACATGGGGGTCTTGGGCTCCCAAATTTTACCCTCTACTACGCAGCAGCACAATTTGCTCAGATCCAACAATGTCACGCCCCACCACAAATCAAAAGGTGGGTAGACCTCGAACACACCATCTTCGGTAAAGACCACCCATCCCTATACATGTGGGTCCCTAAATTGCAACGACCCCTGCCCCCCCCAACCGCCCCAGCCGTCACACACTCCCTGGACCTATGGGACAAACTACAGGATAAATTTGAACTATCCTTGTTCCTCTCCCTAATGACCCCAATATGGAGAAACAAACTGTTTCCACCGGGGCTCATTCCCGCCCACTTCGCCCATTTCGACCAAAGGGACATAGTGAGACTCAACAGCCTGTACCAAAATAATGCGGTAATAAAATATTTGGAAATCAAAGACACGGACACCCTGAGATCGTTTGACCACTTTCGATACATTCAGCTGCGCAGTTTCGCCTTAACCCCAATAATACAACAAGCCGGCACGGCCAAGCTCACCCAATTTGAGAAGGACTGCACTCACCACCCAATTAGAAGAGGACAAATCTCAGACCTATACACGGCCTTGGCAACCCACCCTACCCAAGTAACACTAACTTATATAGCAGCCTAGGAAAGAGACCTGGGACCCCCAGAAGACAACACAGATTGGGCAGATATCTGGGAAGCCACGGCCTCTATATCAATCTGTGTAACACACGTGGAACAAGCATACAAGATGCTGTTCCGGTGGTACCTTACACCCCAACACCTAGCCATAATCCACAAAACACCCAGCGCGTGCTGGAAACTTTGTGGAGAACAAGGGACATTTCTCCACTGTTGGTGGACATGTCCCAAAATAAAACCTTTATGGATCAGCGTTATAGCCCTACTGACCAAAATTCTACACAAGCCATACCCATTAGACCCATGGGCCCTTCTACTCTCAAAGCCTCTG